TTTTGAGACGTCATATTACCGAACCTAATTCATTCACTTTAGTATCTTTCTATAGTTTTTCACGCTACTTTCATTGATTGGTAAAAAGAAAAAGCTACTTTAAATATAAATATAATGACGGTATTTTGGATTTTAAATAAAAATTTACATAATGCTCTCTCTTCTTCACATGAAGGTAAGACACTCGGGAGTGGAGACGACCACCGAATATGCAATGATGAACTTAAAGGTGAATATTGAAAACGTTTTCAATTCCAATGCCTAACTTGGCATATGAGAATATGTCACAAAACTCACCATATTTATAGATTTGTATTTTATGTTATTTTTCAAGTTTTCGCACATGTAGTTCTGTTGACCTTATGTTTTAGGATTGTTAAAAGAACAATAAACTACTACCTTCTATGATTGTGTTTGTTATCATGAGTCTATCAAAAATATTATTCTAACTTTTATGTTTTTATCTCATTACTATTGAACTAACATAAAATTGTTCAAATTCAATAATCATTTTAAATATTATTTATACATAACGATCATAAAGTTACCTATATATCAATTATTATATAAAAACAAAAAATATGTTGCTATTATTGGTTGAAAACGCAAGTATGATGGTATTATGGTATAAAAACAAAATTATGATGCTATTATGTGATAAATGTAAAAGTATGGATGCTATTATGAGATGAAAATGAATGTACGATACAATTATGTAACATCTTGTTTCGGATCGTCCGTGATTTAGGGTTCGTGGGCTGCAACCCGGGCATGAGAAAGCCTCAGGGCTGCGACGAGTTGCTAGAAGCGTAGGGCTTCTCGTCACCTTTCCGTGGATATGTGGTTCTTTGGAAACAGAGTTATGTCGAGGAAACTATGGAAGTTTGAAGTTTTGACAATATAGGTCCCTTATTTGAGAAAGGTGACAGCTGAGTACGTTGGGCGTACGTGTGTATACGCTTAACGTACTCATGTACGTGACTTTTAAGCGGAGCCACCTAGTACGTTGGGCGTACCAGAGGGTACGCTGGGCGTACTAGGCACAAAATGAAACCCTAAATGAGGGGGTGTCCCTATATAAAGAATAAGATGGCCTCATTCCTGGCCACCATCCTCAGACAATAAACCCTCTCAAACCTAAATACTCGTCCATTGAGCTTGTGTGACCATTTATGAGCTATTGAGTGATCTTGTGTTTCTTTGGAGTGAAGAAGGAGCCTTGAAGAAGAAGGAGTGGGATTTCATGCTTTGGATCTGAGCTTATCTAAGTTGGAAGCTTCATGTTGAGGTATAAAGCGCAAAGCTTTCTCACTCTTTTGATTTGTGCATCATTTTAGTGTATTTTAGGGTTTTAGTCCCAAAGTTGGAGACTTTATGAGATATTGAGCTCCAGAGATTTTTATCAGCTTCTTTGAGTGTCTTTAGTGGTGTGGAGTTATAAAAATCGAGACTTGGACGTTTGAATCAACCCATGCATGAGATATGTGCATTTTGAGATGAGAATATGAGAGTTTTGGGTGTTTGTGACTTTACCAACCATGCAAAGGCTTAAAGTCACAGTCTTTATGGAGTAAGAGCTTCTAGGGAGTCCAAATATGTGATATGAGCTAAGGTCTTAACGGGTTAAGACCAAGAAAGTGAGAAAAACCATACTGGACGTACGCCGAGCGTAATCCTAGTACGCCCCGCGTACTGGGTTGGTGTCCCCGATCAGATTTCGTGCATGCTCGTGTACACTAAGCGTACCAAGGGAGGTACGCCCCGCGTAACCTCGCTGTGGGCTTTTTGGGCTAAATCTTATAATGGGCCTTAAGGGTTGGGCCTGGATCTTTGGGCTTGTGTACTAGAGATTTTGAGCAGAGAAATATTATATATATGCCTTGGGCCCTTGTGTTGGGCTTGTCACTTGAACTTGAGAGTTGGGCCTCCAGAGAGCCCATTCATATTGGGCCTTGGTGGGCTTAATGAGTTTTAGGTTATTGATGGGCTAGTTAGTGGACTACCTTTAGACCTAAAGAGTGAGGGTTTGGACTTAGATATTAATTGGGTAATTGTGGATTTTGGTCCAGTGTTAGAGGCCGGTGTGCAGCAACAACGTCTATAGGAGCTGTTCATCATCCGAGGTGAGTCTTCTCACTATACTTTACCTAGAGTGGTAACGTTTGTGTAACCAGAGGGTCTTATGTGCTTATATTGAGTATTTTGATATCCTGCATTATGTCTTTGTGATTTATGCTATGTATTATTTTAAGCTTACTGAGTTAGGACCGGAGGGTCCACCCGAGTTGTGGGACCGGAGGGTCCCACTGAGACACATTGACCGGAGGGTCTTATCTGAGTATAGCCATGAGAGGCTGATGAGATATGTGTGGTATTTTTGGGAACTCACTAAGCTTCGTGCTTACCGTGTTATGTGATATGTGTTTCAGGTTCTTCTCAGGATCACGGGAAGGCGCCGACTTGATTGTACATACCAGAGAAAGAGTTATGTTTTGAGGATCCTGGATTATTAATCAAATAATTATGGAGTTGCGTTTTGTAAATTAAATAAATGAGATTTTTGTGAAATGTGTTATGAGAAGTATGTGATTTTAAAATGAAAAAATTGTTTGAAAATTTACGGTGTTACAAATTATGTGATACAAATGAAAGTATGATGCTATTAAGGGATATGCAAATATGATGTCGTGTCCATTGATAAATATAAATAAGTTTTTATTTTGTTGAAAATTTGAAATATGTTCCTAGATATGTTAAAACTATTAATTTTAATATGTTAACAGTGCAAGGGCATAATAGTAAAGTTTTTAAAAGGACATAATGGTTTTTAGTTGTTCTAGCATGAGATGAAAATGAAAGTACGATGCTATTATGTGATACAAATGAATGTATGATACTATTAAGAGATATGTCATGTTCATCTTTTATCCTAATAAATAAGAATCATTTGTTGTCACTTGTGTTCTAATGAAAATTAAATATTGCCAACAAAGTATACCATTAAAAATTGCTAAATTTTTATGATTTGATATTAATTCTTTTTAATAAACTTGTGTGATACACGAGTCTCACACCTAGTTTAACAATAACGTGCTAATAAACAGGGGCGTATCCACCATATGCTTAGGTAGGTCCTAGGACCTACCTAAGTTCTCAATTTCATTTAGAATGTATACAATAGAAAAATTAGGAACTACCTTAGAAAAAATAAAAGACCTACCTTGAGTTTGTTTTTTTTTTTTTTTTAATTTCTTAAAAAACCATTTAAAAAGAGAAATATATAAGTTATTAGGGCAATTTGTTATTTTAAATTATGAGATTGATAACAAAAAGTTAACCACTCTTAATCGACACTTTCAAAATATTAATAAATAAATAAGTTGTTCTAATAAAATGAAAGCCCACATGCCAAAGACTCTCACTCTTCGTTCGCCGCTTTATCAGTGGACTAATAATCAACTAGTTTTTCTTTAAATCATACGCATTTTTCAGTTATATTTCAATCGGTTTTTTAAAATTTTTAATCGGTGGCACAAAGTACATGAGCCGATTGAACTGGTTCAGTTCTTTTAAGGTACATGAGCCGACCCGACCCGACCCCAAAAGTGTTGTTGATTTTTTTTATTGGCCTCACTTAATTTAGGAACCACGTGATTTTTTGTTCTACATTCGCCACTACTAATAAACTATTATAAATAAACAATTGTTTTTGTAAACCTTGAAAACATAATAATTTTGATGATAAAAATATTACTATAATAATTTATAACGTAAATATTTAGAAAAATAGCAACAATTCTATTATTTACCTAAAATTGGCTATTTTAAATTTTAAGTGAAATTACGATCACTTTAGTAAAAGTGGGGAGATGAACTTGTCAGCTCTAGGGATGAGATTTAGAACCGGAAAACCGGACCGGAACCTGAACCGTTAGAACCGGAATATATAGAACCGGTTCCGGTTCCGGGTTTAAAAATTGGCTTTATCCGGGTTCCGGGTAATCCGGGTCTGGGTCCATCGGGTCCGGGTAAACCGGGTCTAAAAACCGGAACCGGTGTTTGGAACCGGAACCACTTTTAGGACCGGAACCGGTTTTTGTGAAACGTTTAAAAGATGCATATCTCATTCGTTTCAACTCCGATTGACATACGGTTTTTTCCAACATGTAGTTTAGAGTTTGTACATGATTTTAGACTATAAAATTTTCCATTTTTAGTTTTATATTCATTGACTTACAGTCCCCCAAAGTCGAGATATCAAAACTGGAAGTTTTTAGTTTTTCAGTTTTTTTGTATTCGGTGAAAGTTTTAAAACATGCATATCTAATTCATTTGAAGTCGGATTGACATGTGGTTTTTTCTAACTTGTAGTTTACAGTTTGTACATGAGTTTAGACTATAATTTTGTCATTTTTGGTTTAACATTCAATGATTTACAGTCATTCGAAGTCGGGATATCAAAACTGAAAATTTTCAACTTTTCAGCTATTTGTTTTTGTACTTTGTATTATGTGAAAATGTTAACACATGCATATCTCATTCGTTTAAAGTCGGATTGACATGTGGTTTTTTCAAGAGTGTATTTTAGAGTTTGTACATGATTTTAGACTATAATTTTGTTAATTTTGGTTTCATATTCAATGAGTTACAGTCCCCTAAAGTCGGGATATCAATATGAAAATTTCAAAGTTCAACCCACTAACTAGTAAGTAATTACCCAAAAATTCCGGTTTTTTCGGGTTTTCCGGTTCTAAACCCACTTTATCTGGTTCCAACCTACCCACTTTGATGTTTCCGGGTTTTTCGGTTCTAGACCCACTTTACCCGGAACCGTACCCGGAACCGAACCGGTTCCTATATACCGGTCCGGTTTCCGGTTCAACAAAATCCCGTTAACCGGTTCCGGGTTTTCCGGGTCCGGGTCCATTCGGTCCGGGTTTGGACCCACTTTCATCTCAGCTCCTAATAAACCCTAGAACTCGCTCTTTCATTCTGATAAACCTCTCCATGGGAAACCAGGACGGAGGCGTAGTTCTTTGTAGCACAAACCCACCCATGGAAATGGAATCATACGAATCATCATCATCTAAAGGCTGCGACGAGTGTAAAACAAACGATTTCAAGTACAAATGCCCAGGTTGCTCCATCCGCTCTTGCAGTCTCCCTTGTGTCAAAGCTCACAAGCAACGCACTGGATGCACAGGCAAACGTCAACAACAGACAGAGTTCGTTCCTCTTTCAAAATTTGATGATAATCTCCTTCTCTCTGGTAAATTCCCAATCAAACTCACCTTTTGAATTTATCCAATTTTTCGAATTCTGGTTCTACTTATTAGCGATTAGGATTACGAACTTTTAGCAAAAGGAAGTCTTCTGTAGTTTGCTGATGTTTGTATCATCAACCAGTCACTTAGTAGTTTGGTGGGTTTCAAAATGCCAAAAAAACATATTGATGCTTGAATTTTTTGATGGGATATTTATTAGCCAGTTCTGAAAATTAGCTCCTTTGCGTTGGAATTTTCATTACATTTACAGTTATTTATTAATTTGATACTTGAAGATTTCGTGAAATTATGTATACATCATGACTCGGGAGATGATTTGCTCACTTTTGATTGAAAATTCTAACCAAAGATGAGTTAACTAACAACTACAACGGTTGTGAATTTGTTTATTGGCAAGCAGATTACAGTATGCTGGAAGATGTGAAGAGAATAGCTGATTCCGCCAAGAGAATGAGAATGCAAATCTGTGGGAAATACTACAGTGGGCTTTCATTCCCTCTTAAACACTTGCTGAAAGCTGCCAAGAATAGGAGGATTAGACTTTTCTTCTTGCCAACTGGAATGTCAAAGAGGGAAACCAACAAGACATACTTCAACAACATGTAATCTTCTTTACACTTCATCTGATTTCCGTTTTGAAAATACTATAACATGTTAACAATCATTGTGTTTTCAGGAAGAAATCTATCTTTTGGACGATAGAATTGCACTTTCATTCAACCAATGTTAAGTTAATTGACCATGAGTAAGCATCTTTTCTATATAGATGTTGAAAAAGTCAATTTGGTCTTTCAATTTATAATTGTGAACCTGAGCCCCTTACTTGTGTTGTTTTAGTGTGCATGAAGATTCAAATCTTTACTCGGTGATTGAAAACCATCTAAAACCTGGTCCAATAAATCATCCATTAAAGCTGTTTTGTGTTGAGCCTCTTGAATCTCTAAGAATTTTCATTAGTAAACACCCAAAGGTATTTTCTATCTCAACCCTCTTTATATTATCTTTACTTATAACTTATTATTTATCTGTTTTGCATATTCAAGTTGACCAGTTAGGTTTTTTGTCCTAAAATATGCTCATAAGTTGTAAAAACAAGCCAATATAATGGTAAAAGTACAACTGCTTTACTTTATTCAGTTATATAATATTATCTTTAATGTTTCAAATTTTTTTTTTTCCTGTAATGTAGCAACCAAGATCACCATTTCGTGAGTTGGACAAAAACGCCCCCATACGTGAGCAGTTAGCCAATTTAGTGATTGTAGAGTACCCTGTGATTCACGTTTTACTTCCTTCACATATCCCTGATTTTAAAGTTGTTAAAGACATTGTCCCACGAAGAGTGCAACCTAAGTTGGACCCGGTCAACGAAAGTCAACCGGGCCCGAAAGGCGTGTTCTTTAAGGAAGAAGAAATCAAAGATGAAGATTCTTCAGATTCTCATGTCGTTGATCTCATGAATCAATCAAATAGCAAATCAGAGACTCTTGTTGTTGATGATGCTAAGAATGATGATAAAGATAAAGATAACAAAGTTGGAGCTGTTGACTTGATGAGTTTTGACTTTGACCCGGAATTGATGGATGTTTATTCTCATTTAATCTCTGAAACAAAATCCTGATGATTTTCTTGATTTGGATGGTTTGTTGTATAATGAAATGCAACTTCAAGATAAAGATAAAGAGGGAAAGTTTGGAGGTGTGAAACAAGAATTGGAGGAAGGAGAGATACCAGATTCAGACTAACTTTATAATCTTGAAAATTACACAAATTATATGTTAAAATTTTGGATATATGAATATGAGAGGTTTTTGAAAGATTAAAAAAAATTGCATGGTTGATGTCTATTCAAATTCCCAGTCCTTTATGTATGTGTATGCTGTGTGATGTGTGTGTATATGTAACAAGGGGCAATTTGGTCAAAAAAATTGTAGCATAATGACATTTTCTTTACACTAATAGTTACATATTTACAATTTTTCTCATTTTAACATACATATCCTTACCGACTATATTAATAGCAATTTGTATTTTATTATTTATATATCATATCATAAGGAACTCTTTATAAAAGTAAAAATAAAATACCACTAATACTAAACAAAAAAAGAAAGAAAAACGTTATTAGGCATTTTTTAGGTATTTAGGTCCAGGTTTGGTATTGGGGCAACTTTTCGGTGATGGGCCATGCATTTGCATAGAAATAGAAAATAATCAGATAGATTAGATCGTTAGGTTGCTACAGTTTTATTTCCCAAAAGTCACCTAAATGTATTTAAATGTATATAATTTTATTAATTAATTTGTTTAAAAAAATATTATTATTTTAAGATTATATCTTTTCTAATCATAACATTTCAATTGCTAGTTGCTACTTGATGTTTGGTTGACGTTAGTGGGTAAGTTGGCTCGAAAAATGAAAAAGGACAAAAGATATATAAAAAATAACGGTGAAAACATTCAAATGGATAATTTAGTTGGATTTAATGGATTATATGATGAGATTCAAGTGTTAGAACCTTGATTCCGACATTTGAGATTGAATCGAATAAAAGGAAATTGTTTAAAATGAATTTATAAGTGAATTAACATGTTGAATTTATTGGATTACATATACGCAACAATTTCTTTTTCGATTTTATGGACATGTTGAATTTGTATGGTCTTCAAATGGCAATTCGATTATAATTTATGGGCTAGGTTTTAGGATTCCTCTTTGGGTCGCATTTTCAAACGGCCTATCTTATCAACATTTTCATGTACATGTTTCTACACACAAAAAAATCATAACCATCTATTTAACAATATTTTATAAAAACCTTTATATTTTATTTATATGCTAAAAAACTCTTACATTTTCGATTACATTTCACATTAACTCAAATATCCATTTTTTTAAAGAAATTATCGGTTGTTTTGTGGTATAACATTTATCTTTTTCATTTTTAGGTTACCATGAAAACAAAAATAAATGACATTACCTCTTGTCTAAGATTAAACGTGCGGAATAGACAATTTACTCAAGCAAAAATAAGTGATGCCACCTTTTCTTTTTCCATGTCAACCTAAAAACGAATAAGATAAATGTCATAACACAAAACAACCGTTAACTTCTCTAAAAAAATGAATATTTCGGTAAATCAGAAAGGTAACTAAAAAATATAAGGGTTGTTCTATATATACACAAAATGTAAGAGCTTTTCTGAATGCTATATGATTGTGTTTTTCTAACATTTTCGCCCATAAAATTAAAATTATAGTTTTTGGGTTTTAAATATATATTTAATTTCAAATGAGAAATAAATACTATAGTTTTTGGGTTATAAAATGTGGCCACAATAGTTTTCTATAAGCTTGTTAAAATACAATTTGTCTATTTTATGAAATATCTATTTTAACCCCTGTTCGACATGAAATATTTGAGAGATTTTGGGTGGTTTTAGATTCATTTAAAGCTCAGAAAAAAAAATAGTTTCTTTTGGTTTTAGGAGTTTTTATCTTTTATTTTAAACAAAACCCATAATCAAAAAGTTATTTAATTTTAAATAGCTTTTAAGACCTTTTAGTTTCTTAGTTTTTTTTTTTTTTTTTTTTTTTTTTGTTTTGTAATTTTACATCTTTCAAAATTAACATCTATTTTTATCAAACACTTTTAGACAAAAAATAATTATGACTTTCTTCTTTCAGCTATCAACTATCTTCAAGCTTTTAGCTACCGATTAATTTACTAAACCCATCATAAATCAAACAGTTTTTTAGCTTGTTACCTAACCCAGTCCTCTTCGGTCCACTTTACAAAGTAGTTTCGGGGTAGCTTTAAGCACAAAGGCATTTATCAATTATCATATACGCATAAAGAGCACAAACTCACTCACAAGCATGACAATTGACAAATATTTAATGTTACAGGGCCCACAAAGTTAAGCCCGAGAGATGTAAACCCTAAAAGGCTAACCCATAACCTTTTAAAACCATGACATGGCATATGTAAAGTTATTAGTGAAAATAAAAATAATTCATAATGCAAATCAAAAACTGACGACTAACATGTATTTTGATAAAGCTAATATATAATATAAACTCCACGTTGAAAATTAAAAAGAAAAAATATTTAGACGAAACTCGTGTTGTTGATAATTGTTAAAAGAATAAAATGGGGATGCTAAAAATAAACCCTAAAAGGACTAAAAAGATAAAGTAAATGAACATATTTTTGCTTACTCATATAGATTCAAAAATTAACGCTATCATTTATTTTGGTGTCACTTCATCTTATTAAATGTTTTGTTTAATTCTCTACGCAACTTGGCTTGAGAAATTAACTTTTTTGAAGTACATGAATATGTAAATGCATCATTTGTCCTTTAGAAAAGGAATCATAATTGTAAACAATAAAAAGAAGGCCAACCTTAAAATAGGTTTGATAGATGAGAAGAATGAGTTTATTGGTATGTCCTAATTGTTTTTTTTTTAAACTACAAATTCAATCTATTGCTAAACTACTTTAATTCAATCCATCTTAAACGAGACTTGAACTATCGATTTCAGAAAACGAGAACAACAACTAATACCAGCAGACTAGAAGTTATTTGGTCGATATGATCTAATAATTGACTACATTATAACAACCTTTTGGACCCGTAAGTGGTGACAATGGATTGATGTAACTTGAAAGATATGTTTGTCAAAAGTAGTTGTTAGTTGCTAGAACTTAGAACTTAGAAGTCGGAAGCTATAACTTTTATTTCTGTAAAATTGTTTGTTTGACAAAATTAGTTATAGGTTTCTAAATTATATAAAATGAAAATATAAAAGCTAAAAGCTCTCAAAAGAAAATAAAAACATACTTAGTATCTTTTGAATTATAAGTATTTTGTTTAATAACACTCGATGACTATGGATCGTTGGAAGTTAATTGGCAGATGATGGGAGCTTCATTTGCCTATTACTCGGTCGATTTTGGATTGGATAAAGTGGATTGATACTATTACTCTTAATGGCGTGCAACAAAAAGGACTAGATGCATTACCTTTTGGGTTTTTTGAAATTTTGGAAACAACTTCATATTCAGAATGGATAAACCTAAAAAAGCTTATATCTTTGACGATATTGTGTCTCTTTTTTATTATTTATTTATTTTATTTTATTTTATTTTATTCTTTTGCGGTTAGTAATCAGTGTAAGAACCGTAGTCTGAATTGAGAATTTGGGATGATCGGCTTCACAACCCCTCTTTAGTTATTATTACTATGCAATATGTTTTTTGCTTGCTTCTTATTACTCTTCTAATCAAAATTATGCTGTTCCAAAATACGTCCACTTTCGAATGAAGTTTTTGTTTTTTTTTTTTTTTGTTTTGTTATTTTTTTTTTTAAATGATTGTATGACTCTGACAAATTTTAGCGATAAGTCGGGTAGTAGCACAACCAATGTGTGAAAGAAAGACATTCGAGAAGAACAAATACTAAAACTAAGGGGCATATGCCCCATAACTAAAGCAAGAAAAAAATGTTAGACTAACGAAGTAACAACTATCCCTAGCTAAAACACAAGTGGGGATCATCCCTAGTCAACAGAATCAGACTCACTAATGTCCTCTACAACGCCTTCAACGAAGTGTTGTATCTTTGAAGGCAAAGGTTATGTCATCTCTCTTTGGTTCATGGGGACCTTAAAACTCTCAAATATTCGTTGTTGAACATACTTGAAGTCTAATTAGAAGCATTTGTCTTTCAATTTGTCAGCAATTTTAAAATAACTGATAAATGTCTGGCTCTAGGGTAAGACATGAACTTAAAATGTGCATTTTATACGCATATTCTTGGTAAAAATGTAATTTAATTTTAAACAAATGAACTTGATGAATAAAGCAAATCCAAACTTGTATTTTTGGGCATCTTCATTGACCCAAGCCACTTTTTCTCAAGCGACTACTATATCCATACTTTGAAGTGAGATTTGCTTTTCACAATATCCATAAAGGCATAAACTTTGGAATGTTTCTAAGCATATTATATTATATGAATGAAATGGTATTAAAGCATTGGAGTATATTTTTAAAACATAAATGCATCTGTCAATTTGTCATACTGATAGCATTTTTGGGAAGAGGGGAGGATATTCCAATATATATATATATATATATATATATATAATATATATATATATATATATATATATATATATATATAATACGTGCATAATCAAGGGGCAATCGTAAGATTCGTAACATTATAAATTCATGTTAATAACATAACAACAGATTTTGATTAATTTTTATATTATGCAATATACTTTTTTACTATAAAAGCAATGTAACTTAATTATTATCCATTTGATAGTAATTTACTATGCTTGTTGGCATGTTATATAAATTACAATTTTATTTGAAAATACCAAAATGTCCATAGTTGCTACAATGCAAACTTTATAAATCTTACGAGCTAAACAAAAATAAATAATTTCAAAATAATCAAAACATTACCTTATTTTCTTATTAATGTAAAATAAAAGTTGTATTTTTTTTTGAAATCCAAATATTTATATAGAGTTTGGGGAGTTGGTTGGAAAGTGGTGGCATGTAAGTGAGTGCCAAGAAATGGAATAAGCCACAACTTTTGAGGATAAGGAAAAGGCTCAAACTTTTAAAAAGGGTAAAAGGGAGGCCCCAATCTTAAACATGATGTACAAACAAGTAGGGAAGGTTGAATTTAATTGGTTAAATGACCACATGGGTGGGGGGGGGGGGGGGGGGGGGGGGTGTAAGGAGACAATCCTCACATGAAAGAAACATGGGGTTTCTTTGCTTTGCTTCTACTGTTGAAGGCAATTTCTCATTGTAGTCTTCTTGACCTCCCCCACTCCCCAGCCTTCCCTACAACATATCCATTCTCATCATCGATAGGAATATACCATTCCAACTTATAGTATCAGA